CACCCACACCCACACCCACACCCCACACCCACACCCACACCCACACCCCACACCCACACCCACACCCCACACCCACACCCTAAAAGAGAAAAAATAATGACGGCTCGATAAATGAAAGAAATAGTGAAAGTAGCTATAAAATTATAGAAAGAAAACGAAAGAATGAAACATTGTTTTCATATTATTACTTAAAGACGAAAGAAAAACAACGGAAAACAAAAATGAAGAGCAAAAGAGAAAATGTATAGACAGAACGTGTAACATTCTGTATAATTTGTACAACGATAGGACAATTTTTACAATCTCGTTATCCAATTTTTTCAAGCGATTCCATAAATGATAAAAGTTTATTTAGACCATGGGGTTGAAAAATTTTTCACTCCATGGTTCACACCATGGGTAGAGAAATGAATTTACGAAAATTCATCCTTGCGGAGACATATGATGGAGTAATATGTCGCCCCATCCCAATTTGGGGCGTCACCCCATGGGGAACCCATGGGCCCCGACCATCTGGGTGCCCCGACGAACATCTCTGATATCTTATAAGTGATCTTTATGAAATTTTAAAAGAACCGAACATTGCATCGTAACATTGATTATTAGCATAGAAATTAAGAGAAGATTCAAAAGTTTTGTCATAATAAAAAAAATAACAATGACATATAATAATCTTATTGTGTATATAGAATTTAGAATTCACATTAGACTGAAAATTCATATAGAGAATATGATAGATCTCTAGCTATCTCTTAATTTGAAATCAGAAAAACACTTATCTTTTGCACATTTTCCCGATACTCCTTTGAGCTTCTCATGTAGTTTGATTTTTGCGTTTCTTTTCTCGATGCAAATTCTTATAAAAAGTATCCCACGTGTCATTTTATTGAGTGATTAGAAAAAATGGTCAAATATTCGCTCAATTGCATATTTGAGTCTTTCATGAAACCGTCGATAAAATGGATATTTTTTAATAGCCAGTACCAAAGATCGTTCATAGAACTCGAGAGATTTGTCAAATTGCGCTATATTATAATAGACAGTTCCAAAGTTTTCGTAAAGATATGCATAATAAGGATGCTCCGATTTCCTTGTGGTAGTAAGAATTGTCTGAAATTTTTCAAAATATTCAATTGCCTCATCATACTTTCCTTGAGCATTAGATATTATGCCAAATGTTTGAAACGAAACACCCATCCTAATATCATTGTTTGAAAGATTTTCTGCACGAACATTAAATGCTTTTATACATAGTTCTTCTGCTTCTTTATAACATTTTTGTTCACATTTAATACGAGCTAGACGACTATAAGCATATGGAAAATCAGCAGTTGTTTCGTTATTTTGATACAGTAATCGTAAAAGTGTTAATCGACGTAAAGTAAATAGTTCAGCTTGGTTGTAATCTCCTATTTGGTAATAACTTAATGCAAGATGCTCCACAGCCGTGCTTGTATTGACACAATCACCTAGATGTTCAAAGACCTTGAGACTCCTATGTAAAAACGATAAAGAAGTCTCATAATCATACAAACGAAAATGAACAAGCCCAACATTCAGATATGAACGACCTAATGCAGATTGACACATTGATAAGCTGTTTATCAATATGTCCGATGCTGAATCGAGAGAGGAAAAGTCGAGTTTCAGATCTTCTCCAATATGACAAAAAGTCTCTAAGCTTTTACAAATTCTGGTCAAATCTTCTTTCGTGTTGCACAAATTTAATGCATGTTCAAAATGATTGAATGCATTAGAGTATTCTTGTAGATTTGAAAAAGCCAAGCCAAGATAACGATATGTATGTAAAAGACGATTTGGAAACAAGGCAGCTTTATTATTATTAAAGTTCAACTCTAAAGATGTTTCGAGATGTCTGACAGCTTCTTTCGGTTGCTCAGTTTTTACAAATAAACGTCCAAGAGAAAAGAAAATAGTAATCGCCATTTCGCGTTCAAGTGGAATATTTATATCAAGTAATTGTTGATAACTAAGTATAGCTCTTTTATACATATTCAATTTATCATAAACTTGTGCCATATAATGGAAAATATCATGTAATGTTTCATTATGACGTGGTAAAAATTGTTGAAATATTTTAGACGCTTTTTGTAAATTAGTCAAACTAGCAAAATAAAGACCTTGAAGAAAATAATTCTCTCCAAGGCGATAGTAAATAGTTCCAAGAAGACGTACTTCATGATCTAATTGACGATTAAGAAGAATATCTAATGCTTTTTTCAAGTAATCCAATGCCAGATCAAGATTATTCAAGCTATTCAGCGCTAATCCCATATCACTATAAAGTCCGGCAAAAAAGCAATGATCAGATGATAATACTGATTTATACAATTGTTCAGCCTTTTCGTATGCACGCATAGCTTCATCATTGTAATTAGCTGATGCATAAAGATGGCCTTGGCAATGATAGATTCTTCCTATTCGACAAGAATTACCTTGTGATTGATTTTTTTCATAGAATTCAAAAGCATCATCAAAACATCTTTTCGCTTCTGTTTCATTTTGAGAACGAAAATAGGTCATTCCTAAATGTAGATAACAATCACCAATAATAAAATGATCGGATGGTAAACATTGTGAATAAATATCAAGAGAATTATTGAAATGTTGAATGGCATCAGTATAATTTTCTAAATGAAAATATGTCATCCCAATATCACTATAAATGCTTCCAAATTGTAGAGCAGTTGGTGGTAAATGGCCATTATAAATCATCAATATTACCTTAAACAAGTTCAATGCTTCTTCATATTTTCCTTGACTATTCCAAAGTAATCCAATCGTTGTATATAATCGTGCTAATTTTAATGGTTGAATAGGTTTATTATTTTGAAAAATAAGTTCTTGACTTTTTTCCACATATTCAATTGCTTTTATTATGTTTTCATCTTCAATAAGAAATTCAGCAATTTCTAATAAAATTTCAAATCGTATTTCTGGATCTGTTGTTAATTCAAGAATTTCTTCTCGAATTTTAATTACATCATATTGTTGAAAAGTATTCAGTTTTTTAATTTCAACTTCGAATAATTTACTATTATGATAAATAGTTTGAAATAAATCTTGTAAATAATTGCTACTATTTTCTATTTGACCCATAGCAATAAAAAATGCATACATACCAAAATAAAATGCTTTCTTATCATCACATTGTTGAACAGGTTTAGGATAATGATATTCTTGTAAATTTTGTATATGTTGAGGATTACATGCTTGTAATTTAGCAATCCATATATTATCTTCTTTTTCAACTTCAATTATTTGAAATATAGCACCAACAGTAATAAGAATTTCTTGTTCAGATTTATTCCAACTATGATTTTCAATATCAGCAAAAGCCGTTTTATATGTATTTGTATCAATATTAATAATAAAAAGAACGGATTCAAAATTTGGACGATGTTGACCATCACCTGCATATATAAGTGAAACATTTCGATTTAATGATGTCGATAAAAATGTATTCATAGATATTAATGATCCAATATTTTTTTTTAATCGATCAAGTTCTTTTGGTGTTATTAGTTGACCACGATATACAGTTAAAGTATATGGAATAAGATCTAAATCAAGTATTGTTTGAAGATAATCACAATGTAATTCAGATATTTGTATATATAATTCTGATAAAATAAAACGAAATTTATACATATCATCAATATTTTCTGAACGAAGTGTTTTATTTAATAAACGATATAAAAATGAATCTCTTGTATACCATTTAATAGAATGTTCTGTTTGATAATTTTTTTCAAAATCAGAAATTTTTTCAAGTTCAACTTCATCATTAATATAATAATTTCGACAATATGCAATCATATCATATTTTGCTTGTTCAAGGTCAAATGTTTGAAAAAGAGTTTCTAAATAAAACTGATGCCAAAGAAACTTACCGGATTCTTTTGATAAAGTTTTAGTTGATTTTCCACTTTCAAATAAATTATAACTTAATAATAAATTCTCTGTACAATGATGAATATCTGTACGTAAGTGTTGAAAAATATCTTCTTCATTCGTAGAAATATGACGTAATTTTGATAAAGATATAAGCTGATTATTATCTATTTTAATTGGAGAATGAATATATATAAATGCAATTGATGAAACAGAATTTGCTTTTTGTACAATATCAGTATTTGATGAATAAAGTGTTATTATAAGAAATACATATTCAACATTAGTATCTAATATATAGTTCAAACATTGATCAATATTATAAAATGTTTTTAAATGATGTGTTATAGAGCGTATTCGTATAGATGCATCAATACTTTTTTCAATATTAGAAAATGTTTCATCTAACCAAATTATTTTCAATTGATTATCAATGTTTTCTGACATTATTCTTCAACGTGAATATTACAAATAGTATTTAAAACAAAGGAATTCATCAATTTACCTTAGTCATACAAATATGTTGTAGTTGGCTGTGATTTTTTTCTTTTGTATGATCTATTCGTTGTTCCTTCTTTATTTTACTGGGTTTTTTTTTCTCGGATATAACACATGTGATGGTAGGAAGAAAAAGAAAACGTAGCAATGCTTTTATTACACTTTTTTAGACGTTAATTTTTGTTTTTTATTATGCTATTGAAATTTTGAGAGTGAGGGTGGGGTGAGTCAAAGCAAACAATGCCGCGTTGGTGTGGGTGTGGGTGTGGGTGGGGGGGTGTGTGGGGGGGGCGTGGGGGGGGTGTGGGTGTGGGTGAGAACAATGCTCAATATACGCGCACACCCACACCCACACCCCACACCCACACCCACACCCACACCACCCACCCACACCCCCACCAACACCCACACACCCACACCCACACCCACACCCACACCCACCCACACCCAAATATCAGTGTATATTTTCTCATCGTAACAACATGAAACATGAAGGAAGGCAATAAAAAGAGAAA